GCTATTCACATCGACGACTGCTACTGACATTGGGTTAGTACCAACTGAGTAAATAGTTTGATTAACAAACGTACTGCAGCCTATTAAATACAAAAGGTTTGTTCTCACATCTGTACTAGTATATAGACAGTATTCAGTCGTCGTATTTTATTCGATCTTTGAGAGTTTAACTTAATTGAACATAACTTACGTAAAAAGTTTATATGACTGAATTTTGAGCAATTTCAGATATTCTAGAGCACAAGTAAAGTCAGTTTTCAGTCATTCGGTCCATCTCTATGTGAAACCTTCTCGTAAATCTGAAAAATCAACGAAGTCATCTCATTCCACTTAAAACTTGCGCTCCCTTTAATAAAGTCCGATGATACCCTCGACTAAGAGGACGCAGAATACTTTCCAAGCAGAACTCAGAATGCCGTACATTTGTTCAGAATTTTATTTCAGCATATATATCATTCCTTTTTTTTGAATGCATTATAATATAGAATTTATAGACAATAAGATAAGTCTGTGTCACATAAACCAACAATATTTCTACAAAATTCTAAATTCTGCTTTCCTAGTATTTTACAGTTATCTGTGCACCCACACGCTATTCTCGTTCTCGTCGAGAACAGCTCAACAAAAATAAGATGTCAGTTTGCATTATTGCTGGTCTGTTTTTCAGTGTTTGGCATAGATATTCACGGATTTATATCAGAGTCTAATAATGTTGTACCATTAAGCCAAACTAAGCATTATACGTTTTATTTATTGTAAGTTGTGGTCTCCCATAATTACTCTACAAATGGATGTACTTTTCAGATTCAACTACTGTTCTCTCGTGACTTTATATATGCAAAACAAGACTCCACCAATGTTGATTATGGAAGAACATAAGTCACAATCAATAAACCTTCTAGTGCTTAGCCTGGTTTATTAGCACAGCATTTAATAGACTCCATGCAACCCCCGACTGATTGGTTGAAAACCATTCCGAGAGAAAAAATGAAGGACGCAGGTAGACAAGACTAAATACGGGCCGGCGAGGAGTAACCAAAGAAAAGGCAATAACAGCAAGGTTTAGTTCGTGCTGGCAAAATCCCTGTTATGCTGTTATACTCTAGCGCTATTTTACTATTGAAAGTCTTTTCTAAAAAAACAGTAATCGTCAGTGATACGTCTGAATCAACGTCAATTTTTCTTAATATTGGCTCTCACAGCGGAAGTCTGTACCAACAACATAATGACCATAGTTTGTTATGTCTAGATATGATACTCCTATGAGAAACAACTGATCTAATCTCTAGACGAGTATTATCTGTTCATCGAAGTGATAAACATTTGAATGGTAAAATCTCAAACGTTTTTGGTTAGTGGAACTAAGTATCCGTTTGGCAGCTACAAAAAGGTACAACACATTATCTAGCACATTACTGACCAACTGTAGTTGTTGATGTTGTTGTTGTTGATGTTGTTGTTGTTGATGTTGCTGAGGTTGTTGTTGATGTTGTTGATGTTGTTGTTGATGTTGTTGTTGATGT